TGACCCTCCTCGGCAGCCCTGTTCCCTCACAGGATGGCCATGACCCTCCTCGGAAGTCTAGTCTCCCTCACAGGACATCCCCAATTTCTTCCTCAAGTCTAGTCCACCTGATAGGACAGCCCTGACCTTCCTCAGCAATCTAGTCCCCTCACAGGACCCCCCTGACCCTCATCACCAGTTACGTCCACCTCACAAGAAAGATGGGACCATCCTCAAAAGTCTAGTCCCCTTAGAGGATGGCCCTGACCTTCATCAGCAGTCTAGTTCCTAACACAGGATGGCCCTGACCCTCCTAAGGAGTCTACTCCCCCTCAAAGGATGGCCCTTACCTTTCTCAACAGTCTCCTCCACCTCCCAAGACAGGCAGGACCATTCTCAGCAGTCTAGTCCCCTCAAGAGAATGGCCCTCACACTTCTCGGCGGTCTAGTCCCCCACATACAACGGCCCAGATGCTCCTCAGCAGTATAGTCCCCCTTACAGGATGGACCTGGCCCTCCTCAGCCATCTAGTGCCCCTCAGAGCAAAGCCCAGACCATCCTGAGCAGTCTCATCCCCTCAAAGGAAGGCCCACATGATCCTCACCAGCCTAGTCCCCCACATAGGACAGCCCAGATGCTCCTCAACAATCACATCTACCTCACAAGAAAAACAGGACCATCCTCAGAAATCTAATTCCCTCAGAGGTTGGCCCTCACCTTCCTCAGCAGTCCAGTCCCCCCACCCACAGGATGGCCCTGACCCTCCTCAGTACTCTTGTCCCCATGACCCTCCTCAACAGTCTAGCACACTTCATAGGACAGCTCTGACACACCTCTGCAGCCTAGTCCTCCACACAAGATGGCCTTTACGCTCCTCAAAAGTATAGTCTCCCTCACAGATGGCACTGACTCTCCTCAGCAGTCTAGTCCCCCTCAAAAGATGGCCATGACCTTTGTCAGCAGCCTAGTCTCCCACACAGGTTGGCCCAGGTGTCCCTCAACAGTACAGATCTCCTCATAGTACAACCCTGTCCCTCCTCAGCAATTTAGTCCCCCTCACAGGACAGTGCTGATACTCCTCAGCAGCCTATTCCACCTCACTGGACAGCCCTTCTCTAGTCTAGTCACCCTCACAGGATGGCCCTGACTCCTCCTTTATCTAGTTAGTTCTCTCTCACAGGATGGCTGATATCCCTTTCTAGCATCCTCATTGCATCTATGGCCCAAGCGCTCCTTAACAGCCCAGTCAGCCACTGCAGCCTTCCTCACCACACTCCAGCCACCCAGAGAGCTTCTCACACATCATGACCTTGCCCTTGTATCATACCTCCATGTCCCCTCCACCTCAAATGATCTCTCCTCCTTCCTTTGCCTGGTTAACTCCAGCATGTTCTTTGAGATCTATTTCTTCCTCTAGAGCACTTTCTCTGATCACTGCTGCCTGCCTGGCAGCGCAGTCCCTCCCACCAACCTCCCTAACAGTACTGCTCCCACTCCATGTTGTCTCCCTGACCACACTCTGAGGTATCATCCCTCCTTCGCAAATGCATTGTGTAAAAACAAGTACCCAAAGCTCATTACTGCCTAAGTATTTTGCTGTATTTTATTGTCTATTCTACTGAGATGATTTATGCCTATTTCATCCATATGGAGGAAACACTCTATAGTGTGTGCTACTAAGCACCTCTTCCCATCTTCACATTCAGTGACATCACATTAGTGACTTGAAATTAGCCATGGTGGGAGTGTTTATCTTGCAGAATTATGCAATTGCTTCAAATCAGAATTTTTTTGCCCTGCAGAGACAGATGTGAAACACCAGCGTACCAATGGGAAAATGCTGCATCCACAGTGCAGACACAAAAACCTGACAGAAACTGGAAGTTGGCCTGGGAAACTGTCTCACCTGCCCTCCACTTCTTCATTCCTTGCATATGAATGATTTCAAATCCCTTTTGTCTTCCAGGTACCCTCTTCTTCTAAACATGTAAGGTTGAGAATTTCTATCACAATTCCAGAGAATGCAAAAGAGTGCATAGGTATGAAAGAGGAGCCAGGTCATCTACTTTCTGAACAAATAAGCGGCATCTCTTTTTGATGAGAAAAGATGATAAAATACAGTGGATCTTAGAGATGACTTTAGGAAATACTATAGGGAATCAGAGATCTTCAACAGCACTCCATGGCTTTTGGAGAATTTCAGGCACAAATAAAGCTTCTCTATTTAGTATTCAGGAAAGATCAACAACAGTTTTCTGGGAAATAAATGGAGAAATAGCTCTCATCCACTTGAGTTGAAGTCTCATCTCGATTCAATCCACCACCTGTAGGCTGCCCTTACCTACAAGGCCAGTGAAATGGGCCTGTTCTTACTGGGGCAAGACTCAGTGCCTCACCTTCTTCGGCAGATACCCGGTGCACTTGTTTGTTTCCAGGCCAGAGGAAAATGGAGGTAACTGGGTCGACAAACAGCCTGTAGTACCCAGCAATTAGACAGGCTAGGTCTTTTGCACTGTTAGATTCCAGCAGCAAAGTCAGAACCTTGGAAGGTAAAGAGAACGTTCATGTTTATCAAGGGCCAGACGGCAGTCTGAAGACTGACAGCAATACAGTGTGAGGCCAATGAGAGATTCCAAGTAAATCCAGCCATGGTCCACAGGGAGGCCTCCTGGTGCCCCATGTTCTCACCTGCAAGGCTTAAATGAACATACACATATGCACATATACAGATACAATCACGCATGCACTCACACATGCACATGCACTCACACACACATATTCACAAATGCAGAGTGGGTTCCTCTCATCCAATCTATGTGACGTCTTCTGTCTCTCCATCCTCTACCCCAGACTCCCATCCCAACCAACCCCACCATACCCTGCTCATTCATGCAATGGGGACCCTTGAAGACTTGACTGGAAAAGGAAAAGAAGCAATAACAAGTGGAGAATGAAGAAGGTGATAAGAAGAATAAAGCAACCTTCTTGAGCACGTCGCGATTAAATCAAAGGAGGGCAGGATAAATGCTCAGCAGGTACCCTGCACTATTTGCCCATATTAATTTCTGCCACTCAAAACTCTTGGGCAGCCATCTGGTCTTGTGCATGTGTAATAAAAATCATCTGCTGTTTTCCATCTAAGTTTCTGAACCCAGTAGGAACTTCTCCATCAGGAGAGAACGTGGTCCAGCTCAGTTTATACCAAATACCTTTTAGGAACTTTCCAGGAAAATGCACTGCTAGCCACTTTCCCTTTGATGAGACAGGATGGACAATCTGTCCTCTCAAGCAGATGTTGGACATTAGACCTTATTATTATTCAAAATTCATATAAACTACCTTAGAATAATTTGGCCCCAAATTCCAGAAGCTGGATTCAGAATCTCTCCCCCTTGTATTACCTTGACATCCTGAAGATACACTTTGACCATGCTCACTTTCTCAGACTCTTCTGTCAGATCTACACGGCTGATGCTTGCAAACTCTGCCAGTGTGGATATGATGTTGAGTTTGCTGTTGATAATCTGGCTAATCCCATACTTGGCTCCAACTAGAAGGGCAATGTAGGATTCTCTATCCTGTAACTGCAGAAGGGTGGAAGGGGAATTAGTTTCCATTCACGAGCTAGTGAAAATACATTGCACATGTAAGAAATAATACCTCTCTCTATACTTCTTGATTCCTACCTTAGGTCCTACCATCATTCCCCTAGACTATTGCCTTACTTGGGCCCCAACTATAGCAAAATCAAGTATAAATTTATCTCCCATAAGACCCTTTCCAGTAGAGTGCTCAGCCAGAAGACTACTACCTGTTCCATAAATACAATCTGTACTTTCATACCTATGTGCCTACATTGATTCTGTGTCTTCCTCTTGGAATCCCTTCTCTGCCTTCATTATCTGTTTAAATCCTGACCCTTCTTTAAAAGCTTTCATCAAAACCTACTGCCCACAGAAAGCAGCTGCCTCATCTCAGCCTCCTTGAACCAGGTTAGTCTCTTTCCTCTCTGTTGTGCTCACACTGTTTCCTCTGTACTTCTCTGATAGCGCTGAGCACTTATGACTTCTTATTGTAATTATTAGTATTCAAGTCAATAGTAATTCCATGTCAAGCTCCTTGATAACACGGTCTGTATTTATCACTATTTGTAACCCCCAGTGCCCAGCAAGCACCCTGAGCCAGTTCAATGTGGTTGGTTGCTTCTCTCATTACCAGTTCTTTCCTAAGTAAAGGGAGACTAAGGACAGAAACTGGACAGAAGGCAAAATTAGCCTTGGAAAAATTGGAAAGTTCTTCTTGTACCTTCAAAAGCTTTCTTTCTAGGTTTCTTTTCCACCTTTTGGGTCTTCTACTTATGCAAAGACTCCATCTATTATTTTCCCTTCTCTAACTATCTGATGCTCTTCCTTTCTCTCAAAACATTGACTCTCTACATCGTTAGGTCAACAATCTGATTAAATTGACCCATCACTGTAAATGACTGAGAAGCACACCAAATCCTCTTAAAGGAGTTTTGTTAATATGTTGAAAAAAAAGCTAACCTCTAATTGGTAATTGGCTTTGTGCCGGAGAGTTCTGGGGCTGTGATGGGGGAGAGTCCCCTCAAGCCATATCCCCCCCCACACACTGAGTGCTAAAAAGCATATGCTCTAGGCCTAGGCTCCAAAAAACAAGGAGGAGGAAGAATGGGAACAGAGCAGAGGACTCTTCTGCTTCTCCTTCCCTGTCTCAGGCCCACCCCTCAGTTCTTCCAGTCTTCTGAACAACAGGGACCCCAGCCCAGCAGTCTAACATTCCTATCTTTCCTTCGTGATTTCTAATTTTTCTGCTTCATCTTCATATATCCAAAGCTCCAGAGTAAACTTCTCATAGTACCCTTCATCAGAATGCCTTTCCTCTATACTGAAGTCTGGCCCAATCCAACCTTCTTGGCCTCCCTTAATCCCTTCTCCCTGTCCTCATCCTGAAGCTAGCAGAGTTACCCTCTGTCGTCTAACTCCACAGCAGTAGCCCTGTGCGTGTCTCATGGCTTTGCTTTGTCTTACTGGGTAGCTTGTTTTGTCCTTCGATTCACCTCTGCCTCCCCCACCATCTGTCACAGAGCTAGATGGTAGATGGTGAAAGCAAAGCATGAAAAATACTTGCCAACGGGGTACTTTTTAAATTCCCAAACGAATTCTAGTACATGATAGAGTTCTCAGGAATTTTAGGCTAAAAGATACACTGATTTTCAGAGGACCTCTAAAGTCCCTTATAAGAGTAGGGTTCCACAGTTCTCTAATACATACCATTAAAGTAGCATTAAAGATTTTCCCACCATACGTCTTGAGTTCCCCGAGGATCTGTAGATAATTCAAACGTAGCTGAGCAGCGGAAATAAGTTGCTTAAATAGAAAAAAAAAATGTTGAAGTCAGAGTTATTCACTCTCCTAAAATCCAAGCAATGTTGAAAATGTTTCCTCTGAGGTCTCACAACAGATAGCTGGGTGGGTCAGCAGAGGCCACTGTGACATTACCTTCTGTCGGGGTTCTAGCAAATTCTGGTTCCTCTTCATGTGGAAGCTAATGGCTTTCTTGATGTCTTTGCCTTTCATATTTCGGAGTAAAGTTGGAGATATAAAGTTTTCTATTCCCCAGTCTTTCCTGCCATGAGACATTGGAGACAAGGAGGCCCATTTTTGCAGTGTACTTGGCTCTAATGAAGAGCATAATTACATTTGATTCAGTACTTCATGTTCCCATAATACAGCAATTATGAGCCTTTCTCCAGTGGAAGAAATATATACATATTTTTCTTTCATACACACACACACACACACACACACACACACACACACACTCCACAAAAATCACCACAGCCATTAGGAATTAAACCCCATTGATCATTCTGGGAGCTCATTACTCTTAGAGTAGTACTCTATTAATCAGAACAGGAGTTCTCAATCTTTTCCACTACAACCTGTGTGACAAATAATGACAGCACATGTATAACACTCTTATGGGGCAACATAGAGCACCGACGGATCCCCAAGGCCAAGCTTCAGAATGATGCCAGCTGAGTAGCCTCGAAGTCTCCCACAAACTTGTTAAAAATACAGATTCTCAGACCTCACTCCCTAGAGATTTGACTCAATACATCAGGGATAGGGCCAAGGACCTGCTGTATTTTTAAAATATGACTCCACATCTTATTTTGATGCCCATACAGGACAGAGCTGAGATCTGGGGAGGGGCTTGGCAAACCTGGGTGATGCCACCCAGAGGAACTCTAAGCTAAGAATCAGGAGGTGTTGGAATCCTAGGACTTGCAACTGCCCTAGTGGGGATATAATGCACTAGGAATTTGTTCACACCCCCAGGAAAAATTAATTTCCAAGGCCTTCTTGCCCTTAGAAAAGCTTAACACTGAACTTGTCAACTGATTTCCCAAAGATATCCTCCCAGGAACTGGGAGTTTACGAGGGGATCCCGTGTCATTCCATCTGGACTGGGAGCAGCTCGGTTCTGACATCTGGGGGAGCCAGGCTGGGGTGGAAAGACAACAGATAGATAGATGGGTACGTGAGTGAATATCAGCTTTCTGTGGCATCTAGCCATCCTGGCCAGGGGCCAACAAATTACAAGTGCAGTGCAGCTGCTGTCCCCTGCCACTCACTCTATATACTTCAAAGAGATCTTCTGTGGCTGGGCACATGCATAGATCCGCTCCTGGATATGCAGGGCTGCGAGTCGGAGTGCAGAACTGCATTTCATTTCTACAGCAAAGCGCTCCTGGAGCACATCGCTGCAGCTCTGGAAGAGAATGGATAGAGCAGTTAGGAAACAATAACAGACATACTGTGTCCCCTGGTTCTCTCAGGTGAAAGGTAGCAGGACCAGGAGCTCAGCTTTGAGAGCTGGCTCTGGCAGTTCTTGGCTGTGTGACCGTAGTTAAGTTACTAAGACTCTCTGAGCACTGGTATCTTCCACTGCTAAATGAGAATAGTTAAATCTACCTTACACAGTTTCTGTGAGGTTTAAATTAGATAATGTGTATGAAAGCAGGTACAAGGCACACATTATACAATCTAAAGCATTGATGGCATTGTTGTTATTATTCTTATTATTTTCTGCAACCATTTCTGTAAGGCTTTGGGCAAATTAATCTACCTAGTCTGGGTTATCTCGTCTGTAAAACGGTGATGCCCCCCAAATAATTCTTTTTCATCAGAATAAAAATGACATAATAACTCTCACCTAAGGAGGAACACCAGGCTAGGGGTCAAGGAACGACTAAGTGGATGGTTCTGCCACTAAGTGGGTGACCCCGACAAATCATGTGACCTTTCCAAGACTGAGTTTCATCATCTCTAAAATGAGGCTTTGAAGCACTAAAGCCCCTTTTAGCAATACGAACTGTAATTCTAAAGATCCTAGAATGGTATTAGAAAATATATCATCCATGTCGAGGACTAAGCCTGAATTTCATTATGATATTGTAAATCTCCTAACATAGCAACCCAGTGACATAAAAGGGAATTCTGAGGGATAATCAAGCCCATCCTCCTTCAGACAAAGATAATCCCTATCAGGGAATTGCTTAATTGCCTTGAGTTTATGTTCAAAATAACCCAATATGCCATTATTGGGAACAACCACTGTTATTTTAGGAAGCAGAGACACAGTCACCTGCAGATAGAGGTATTCAAAGGCCACGGGGTCTTCTTTCAGGAGGTCCAGGGGGTCCTTGGGAACAAAACACACCCTGAAGAGGCAGCGGTAGTCATGTGACTCCTCCCTTTCTACCACCTGTGAGGGGTAAGGGAGATATTATTAATCTTCTAACTGCTTTTGTCCTCGTAGTTATTTTACAACACTACTTTTTTTACAAAAAGACAATGAAAGCTAGGCCCAAGAGATTTCAATTTTAGTGCTTCCCAAGATAGCTACAGACCTTTGCTCCTAATTTGACTTTCTTTCGTATCGGTATAAAATGTAAAAGATTCAAAAGGATGCTGTTTCCCACTGACCCATCTCTGAGTTCCCCTTTCAAGAGAAACCCCATCTCCAATTGCTTGTGTGCCCCTTCCAGAGACAGTCTATACACACACACGCATGCACACACACACACGTGTGTCAACATATGTATATTCTTTTCTCTTCCACAAATAATATAATATACATACCATTCTGCATCTTATTTTTTTTTCACTTAAACTATTTTTGGGATTTAATTTGATTTTCTTTCCCAATGCAAACGGAATAGAAGTAATTAAACAGTCTGCAAGCAGCAAACCTTCTGATAGGTGAGTGGGTAAGAACTCATCTGCGATGAGAAATGCTCAGAGGGGCTTCTATGAGGTCATGCCTTACTCATGCAGTTCCCTCGCTTAAAAAGCCCCTTACAGTTTTTCAACTATTGAAATCCTATTCATCTCTGTAATAGTGCACATTCAATGAGTATTTGTTGAATTAACCTGTGTTTGGCTTTAAAATACTGGTACAACGAATTACTGAATGACCGAAAGATTGAGTGGTACAGACGGATCGGCCGTGTTTGCCCTATCCTGCCATCGGGGACCATCTCAGAGGGGTAAGACCCACAAAATAGGCTTAGACACAGCAACAAATGCTTCCCTAATGTCTCAAAGGCAGCAGGTGCAAGGGTAGATCATCAGAGCAGGAAGCCAAAGATTTGGGCTCTATCAGCTGTGTTATCTTCAGAACATCACCTTACCTCTCTAAGCCTCTGTCTTCACATCTGCAAAATGGGGATCTTAAATCTGTGCCCTGATGAAAATCGGGCCTGATTCTTGTCCTGTTATGCCCAGGCTGAGCAAGCTCTGCCTTCTGGGGCATGAGAAGTGCATCAAACCTGCAGACATGCTGAGCCCTGTCCCCACAGGTTCTGGCGGAGACACGCAGCCAGCCTGGCCTGTGCCTCCCAGGAGCAGGCAGCTGGTCCTCCTTACCTGCTGGATGAGTTCCTCCTCATGCAGCAGGTGCAGCTGCGAGACACTGTACTGCTCTTCCAGGGCCAGCGCGAAGTACTCGATACTTCGGATCGACAGCTTCTCCTTCACCGTGAGGATGATGTCCTAGCAGGCACGGAGAGGCACAGGGGTCATTCGAGAACAGGGAAGCCTTCTCTGACCTTTTCTCTGCTTCTCCGCACAGCTAGGGAGAGAAAAGCCTGTGGTGATGGGCTCACTGCCAACTCAGGCAGGGCGCCAGCTCCCGCTCGTCAGGCCCCTCGTGGCCCTGCACCCACCGCTCTCCTCTCCTCAGACCCCAGCACCGCCCACACGGCCACACTTGGAAGGTCGAAGCCATCCAGTGAGCGCTTCTGCCTCTTTCCTCAGTGTCCCTGGATTCATCTCCTCTCTGGAATTCTCGGTCTGTATCTTCAACTGCTTACTGGACAGAATCCCACCACCCACTTGTGACGTGACTGAGGGAACTCTCTGAACCTCAGTTTCTTCCTCTGCAAAATGGAGCATAACAATGCCTACTTCTCAGAGTGGCTGACAGAATGGAATCATAAGTAATTCTGTGCATTACAGTTGCCATGTCACACTCCTCTTGTTTACTCCTGAGGCCCTGTGTCATCACAAGGGCTTTGCTGCCTCAGAGCATTCACACATGCTGTTCCCTCTGCCTAGTATACTTTTCCCATTGCTCTTTACAAGTCTGCTTCTTTCTCATCCTTCAAGTCTCAGCTCAAATGTCACTTCTTCTGGCCACTGAATATAAAGGTAATTGTCCTTGTTATTCTCTGTCCCAGGTTCAGGTTTATTTCCCTCATCATTATTTAATATTATTTTCTTCAATTAACAGCTATAGTAAAGTGAATGTGTTTTAGATCTATATACCACTTGCTAGCTGTGTGTCCCTAGATAGATTGCTTATGCTCTTTATGCCTCAGTGTTTGCATCTGTAAAATGATAATAATGTCAACACCTATCTCATAGGGTTGATGTATATATTAATTCCCCCATAAAGGCACTTAGAACAGTATCTTGCAGATAATAAGTATCCAATACATGCTAACTGCTAGTGCTTGTTTTCTTGCTTATTGTCTTGCACCCTGCTGGATGGTGAGCTCCCTGAGAATGTGGACCTTGCCTGTCTTGTGCTCCATCAGACAGTATATCCAATGCTTGGCACTTAGTAGATGCTCAGCAAACTTTCACTTCATGAATAAATAAAAATCATAAATGTACCGTCCCAAATCATTAGGTGCCACCCCACTCCTCCTGACTCCCGATTCTGAATCCTCTCTCTACTTGTTCCATTACCCCCCATAACTAACCAGTGACTAAGCCCTGAAGAGTCTATCTGCTTCTGCAACTCAACGACATTAATTCAGTGCCTGTGGTGTGCTAGGCATTGTGCTGGCTGTGATGGAAACTCTGTCTCTTCACTCTATCCCTTCTTCCCCATCCTTCCACTTCTACCTTGAGCTCATGCATTTCTCCGGGCTTTGAAGAGTAGTGTCCTACGGATCCCACCACTACCCATCCATTCTCCACCTTGCATCTAGAGCAAAGGTTAGCAAACCATACCTGTGGACCAAATCCAGCCCACTGCCTGTTTTTGTAATTAAAGTCTTATGGGAACATAGCCATGCCCATTTGCTGTAACAGCAGTGTTGAGTAACTATGACAGAGACCCCGTGGCCTGAAAAAAACCTAAAATATTTACTATTTGGCCCCTTACAGAAAAAGTTTGCTAACTCCTAATCTGGAAGAACTTGTCTAAGGCTTTTACTGGTCATGTTCTCTCTGGGTCAAGAATATTCAGTGGTTCCTCATGGCCCACTGGTCAAAATCCAAACTCTTCAGCTTAATATTCGCCTCTCTCAAGTATCAGATGCCAACCTACTTCTCCCTCTTTATCGTCTCCTGTTTAACTCAATGCACCCTGCTCGCAAGCCCCACACATTTTCCAAACTTGCCCACCTCTGGGTCTTTGTTGGTCCTGCTCCCCATGTCTGGATGCCGTCTTCAAACATCCCTCCTGATCCACTCCTGTCAAAGTCCATCTAATCTTTCCACGTCTGCTATGTAGGCTACCACCCCTGGAGGCCTTCACTTGCTGCCCAGCTGGAAGCTCTCTCTCCCCTGAGCACATACCACACTGCTTCTGTCCCACTTTCATGGTCCTAAGCACACTATACTTTGTTTGTGACTTATCCCCAGGTCTTAACTCCTCACCCCAGCCCCATGCTATGACTCTGGGCTTCCTGAGAGTGTGACCCTGGGTAATTTGTTTCTGTATCACCAACAGCCAAGCTGGCACACAAAAATGCCTGGCACACAAAAGTCTCAGAAATGTTTCCTGGATCAAATAACATATTCTTTTCCTTGATTTAGAGAAAGAGAGTTTTCTTATGCAAGAACTTTTCTTCCCTTGGTAAGGGAGGGGAGTAGAGAAGTCACCGATGCACTGACAGTGATTTTCCTTTTTTCACCCATAGGACTTCTTGATACCCACCTCTCTCTCTTTCATGAAGAACTAAAAGATTTGCTTTAAAAAATTTGGCTACTACAGGTAAGTAAGATTAACCAGTATTATACTGGCTAAGTCCTTGTTCATTTATCATCTTGAGTTTAATTCCTCTGTGATATGGGCCTTTGTTATAAATATCACCTCAAAAAAATTTTGGCCACCAAAGGGGGACTCACTTTAAAGAAATCGACCCTTCCATTCCAATCCTCTTTGATCAAAGATGACAGAAGTAGAACTCTTGTCTAATTCATTTGCAAAAACTTCCCTTTCATGCAGAATGGCAGAGAGACATGCTCCAGCACAGAGTTAAAAAACAGTCCAATGGGGGGGGGGGACCAAGGGCAACACACGTAACCTAGATATCTGTACACCCATAACTTGCTGAAATAAAAAAAAATAAATTAAAAAAAAAAAACAGTCCAACGGGGGTCTTGCTCTTGCTCAGGGTGGTCTCGAACTCCTGACCTTGAGCGATCCACCCGCCTCGGCCTCCCAGAGCGCTAGGATTACAGGTGTGAGCCACTGCACCCAGCCAAGTGTCTAACTCTTGTGGTACTACATATTCCTGCATTAAAACAGTTGATCCAATATCAGCAATGATATTTCAGTAATTAAATGATGAAGAAATCTAATGTGAATTACTTTAATTCTATAGGTAAGACTGTATGACCACTTGGAGTTTTTAATTTGTGCTTAAAATTTTGAACAGTGAAACGGAGCAAAAACTGTGAGCTGAAATATTTTTGTTTCATAAGTGCAAATTTTAGTTCCTCCAGTAAATATTTTACCGAATCTGAATAATAAATGTAACTATTGCAAAAAAAAAAAAAAAAAAACCAGTCCAAGTTTGAAGCCAGTTATGAGCTAGCTGACTTTGGCAAGCTTTAGACATCTGGACCTATTTTCTCATCTGCAAAGAGGGGATAACATTGTTTACTTCATGAGGTTACTGGGGCATTAAATGAGAGAACATACAAGGAAGTGCTTGGGAGAGTGTGTGGCATGTAGTAAACACTTAAAATCTGTTCCTCCCTTCCCTTCCTCCTCTGGGCTTGGGGCTTCCTGGGTTCAGAGAGGTTTTCTCCAGCTTCTTCCAAGTCATGCTTAGGAAGGAATGGGATAGGGCGTTTGGAACAGCTCTCTAGGAATTGCCAAACGAAGATGCTAGAGAGAAACACTAAGGGTGTGTGTGCATATGTGTGTGCATTGTGTGCATGTGTGTGCACGTGCATGTGTGCATGTGTGTGAATGTACTGTATGGATGTGTGTGCATGTGTGCCTTGGCTACTGTCTATTACCTATAGCTGGGTTGGCCCACCTGAACCTGGTCTTTCCCAGTACTAAAAGAGCTGGACTCGATGTTTCCTCTTACAATTTTTAATGTTTAAACCACTTATTTTGCTTCTTCACTGCAGCCTCACCCCAACACTATTTACTCCCTGCTCAAGAACTGTCAGTGCCATCCCCCTATGATCTATGGACAAATCCAAACTCTGTTGTTGCCTGCCATCTGAGGCCCTCCATAGCTACTCCTCCCCTCAAGAAAATAGCCTGTGCTCCAGTCCTGCTGGATGGTTTGCTATTTCCTGGGCAATGCCCATTCTTCTGGTTCTCTGTTTTAGTCCATGTGACTCCCTCAGACTGATGTATACACCACCCCTCAACTGCCCTGTCCCTGCTTGCCCTTGTTGAGATCTTAGTTACTCTAAGACCTGCTCAGCTCAGGTCCAGCTTTGTTGCCAAGCCTTGTCTGGCATCTTGATAGGCTGGAAAAGATGGTGCTCTTCCCCTTGCATGCAAAGCATTTCCTTGTCCCTCTCTTCACAGCCCTTATTTCATCCTTCCTGGACTATTGGTAGTGTCTTGAACGTCCACCCTCCCTCAACAAGACTGCAAGCTCCTGAAGATAGAGACCACCTTTTACCAAGCTCAGTAACCTCTGTCAGAGCATTTCGTATGGGGGGATTTGTTACACATAAGTTTAATTGACTTTAATGCAGAACAGAACATGCAGGGGCCTGGGCCTTTCCTGACATCTCACCTGGGTTTTTAGCTGCTCTAGACTGTCTTGGGTAGCAGGTGGAGTCACAGACAAGAGGCAGGGAGGCCTGGTGATTAAGGATGAAAGCTTAGGAGTTCTAAGATGACCTTGGGCAAGTCACTTCATCCCTCTGAGTCCTGATTTCCTCCCCTGCAAGATGGTGATAAAAATACCATCTTGCGGGACAATTGTACAACTAAATGAGGTAACACAGTGCTTGGCTTATTGCAAGTGTTCAGACCATGGTGGTTATGAGACCAAGGCAGGTGCAGGGCAAGATGCCTGGAGATCCTAGGAGCCAGCAAATTCTCCTGGGAAAGAGGTTCAAGTTTATTCTTAATACCTTCACAGTTGTGTTTGTATCAAACTTGAAAGCTTTGGTCTGTCCATTCTCCAAGTACAGCTTGAGCACATTGGGCATACACAGCAGAGAATTACCCTGGAAAACAAAAGAGTATTGTTGTGTCCCTGTCACACCCTTCCTGCCCCTGGGTGTGACAAATCCTTGGCTGCCCAGCCCTGTCTGGTTTAGAGAGCAGGATCCTCCCTAACCTCCTCACCATGACAGGGGTCGCTTCTTGGCATTTGGAAATTTCTCCAATGGACAGGAGGCATGCTGTGTCAAGGGACACTCATGAGAACTATTAGATATGACAAATGGTAGAGAGGGTAAGCCCTGCTACGAGCATACTGATATCACTGCACAAGCCTGTGCAATGTCTTCATGACCATCGGCTGACATTTCGCTGCTGGCTGCCACCTTTATGGGATGCAATCTGGCAAGCCAGATGGCCAGCATGCATCCTGTCCGAAATGGGCCTTTCTGAGATTCTTGTACCCTACCTGGTGGGGCTGGGGCAGAACACTCCCTCAGAGCCTCCCCCACCCCCATTTTATTGCTGCATTCCCTGTAGTGAAACATCACCAAAGGGCAGAAGGAGGCTCTCCACCTCCACTCACCCCAACCATCAACCTAGATATGTGAGGCCTCCTAAGGGACTCTGCCACTCTTGGAGGGCTTTTGGGGAAAGAGGCACAGGACTGGTCTGTGTTTGGTGACCCTGCACCAGCCTGAATTCCTGGGGTGGAGCAGGCCAGAGTTTTGGAGAATCCCTCCAGCTCTCATAAGAAGTGACCTCTGAGTGTTTAGGTGCAGATAGAAAGGGCCCTTGGTGCTGGTGTCCCCCAGAAGCACTGAGAGATTCTAGAGTCCCCACGATTTGAGCTAGAATCACCCCAGAACTTTTATCTATAAAGAATTTGGGTGTAAAGCCCTCCTAGATAAAGAAGTTTATAATCTTTTCAAAACACCTAACAGCCTTTTCAGATGAGAATCGTGCATCTTCTAAATACAAGGGTGCTTGTGTCTTCTCAGCAAGACTCACAATCAGCATTCTCTTTAATTTTTTTTAAACCACAGTATTTTTATGGAAGGGAAAGGAAGATGTTCATATTCCAGTGCCATTTCAAACTCCGTTAGGATGAGGGATTTCAGACTGCTTGCTCTGCTGTCATCTTACTTCTCTGGCTTTGGGTGTTTAGAAATCTTAAGTTTTTGATTTCCCAAGTGGAAAATTTTTCCTTGGTACTTTTCTTTGTGATTTAAAAGGCCTATAAAAAATACATCCATAACAATATCACATTACTACCATTTACTATTCTCTAAGGCTTCTTCTAATTTTTATCTATATCTGTAAATAGTTTTAAAGAGCTGCAATAACAGAATATACACGATTCTACCCAACACATATTTCATATACAATTTTTATGTGGGCTTAATATTTATAATTTTAATGGCTTTATAATATTCTATTGAGTTGAAATATCAGAATTGATTTAACCATTCCTCTGTCCTAGACATTTAGCATTTCTTCCATTTTGGGGGCTATTTTAAATATTGATACTATAGATATCCATATCTTTAAATATATGAAGTTTTGCTTTTAAATTATTTTATAGACTAAATTAATAGAAATGCAATCTCTGGGCCACTTTTTATGGCAGTCACTAAGTTTTGTTTTTTTCCACCCAAAAAAGTTTAAACCAATTTACAAAGCCACCAGTTAGTGCACAACTGTAGTTACTTTCTCAACATCGGGACATATATTTTTTCTCTATTTGTGCTGATTTACTAATATAAAGGACCATTTTTTAATATTTTCCTTTGTATTTCTTTAATTGTGAGCAAAGTTAAACATATTTCCAATGTTGGTTTACTATTTCGGATCCTTCTAGAGTGACTGTGCATTCTGAGGCAGCCTTATGTCCCAAGGGGAAAAGCTTAACTACCAATTTTATCAACCTTTAAACACTTGAAGGGATGGATAGACAGGTCACAGGGATGAACTCTCACAGGTTTCACTGTCTCTGCCTCCTGTGGTTGATGCAGAGTCTCCTGTCAACTCCCCTTGGTGAGCCAACCTGCAAGTCTTCCCAGAGACACCTTTTTTAGAGACCGCTGTTCCTCTAAACTCCCTATTCCCCCAAAACTCTGAACCAGTTTTGTAGCCAGTTGAGGTCAAAACTTGTCTCTTTCTGGTCTGCTCGGCATAGACACCAGTGAATGGGAGGTCATGGTCATTTTAACAAATCACCAACCAGGTGATCTGGTCCACGCCTGTAGTGCCCTTTTTCTCTACCTGTCCTGCTACCTGGTTCTCACCCTCACTACTCATCACTGTGCACAACTCTTAAAAACATGTATTGAATCTAAATTTAATTTGCTAAAGAGTTTCAATCTATTTTCACAAACATGGACAGAGACTCAAATATTGCCGACTGACAAAAATCTCAGGTCTTATCTGATTAATGCACTAGGCCTCCCACTGGACCCTTGCTGAACAAATCCACCTTTCTCTGTCAGCTCTAACTGAAGCTGTGCTCGGGTAAGCAGCAGGATAGGTAGGCTGTAAGGGCTCTGTGGATGTAGAACAGGTAACCTGGAGCCATTGTTAAAATGGCCATGACCCCCTCCTGCCCCCATTTGCTGGTGTCTATGGTGAGAAGACCTGAAAAGGACAAGTTTTGACTTGAAAGTTTCAAAATCTAATCATGATTCCCGATTTCGGAATGACAATAATTGCAGACCACTGGGGGAAAATTTGTAAATTATCAATAAATGTGGCTTTTCTCCAACAATCCACATTAATATCAAACTCTAGCCAACATTTTTCCCTTTATAAATTTGTCTTCTAAACCCCTAATTCTGGGTCTCTCCATTTCAAACAGGACTAGACAGCACATTGTGGTGAAAAACCAAAGAACTGAAGTCACGGAGACTGGGCTCCTGCATTTTCTTACTGTGAGATCTTAGAGGTTAAGTCTCTCAAACTCTTAAGCCTCTGCTTCTTTTATTAAATTCCCTTTCTTGTAGGGTATTGTAATGACTAGGATTATGTATACAAAAAGTTTAGGTGACATAATAAAGGTTCAATAGATGATAGGCTCTTAAAAAAAAAAAAGCAATCCCTACTACCACCATCACTATTATCAACATATCACCTTCAGAGGGAATAATAAGTTTAAAGATTCACAGTGAGAAATTAACTATTGGAATCTGATGAAATTTCATGGGCAGGAGAATGGAGTCACAGAGTAACAGAGGGCCACACCCAGTGCTTTTCTGCCTGGTCCCCACCCACGGCCCAGAGCCCCAACCCGCTCTCCTTGTCCATGGTCCTCTAGCATCTGACTGAGAGGGCGCACAAAGCCCCTAGCAAATGCACTGCACGCCCTCTGCATCCTCTCAGTGCTGCGAGAATCCAGAGGGGCAGGGAATTAAGTGCTATGAGGCAGCCTATCACCTTCGTGAAGAGTAATCTCAATCCCCTGACCAGTGGCGCACCTGGCTGTGTCCACTGACAAGCACTTCCTCAGCAAAGTGCACCTTCACAGGGTTGGTCTTCAGTCTGGCTCTCTTCTCCTCAGTCAGAAAGGATGATTTAGGGACTCCCTGAAAAACATTAACATGACATATTTTAGAACAGTACTTTCATAAAAGTCATGTATATCTTCTCATTTCTTTAAAAAAACCAATCCAAAACTTTGACAGCTGTTGGAGATTTTATTTAAACCCACAGGAAAGGATGACATCCCATTAAAGATCTCCTTTCATAAAATCTAGAGATCCCAACCCAGGCGATGTTCTCATGTGTCTGAGAATAGTTGAAAATTCAATGTGGTAGCAAAATGGCTGTGATAGGATGAAGACAAAGAGAACTGGCCCATGAATGAGGAGACCTGAACTCCAACCCAAGTTTTGCTACTCTACAGTTATCAGAACTACCTCAAATACAAATTCTTATGAAAGACAACCGGGGGGTATGTGTGTGCATGCACACATCAATGTGTGTAAAATAAAACAAAATAACTCTGTGTGACTCTGGCCAAGTCCTTGCCCCTCTCTGGCCTTCAGTCTTCCCATCTATAAAATGTGGGGGCTCCAATCTTTGTGATTTATTCTTGGCCCACCTTTGCTCTTATCCTTTGGGTAGCACTCTCTTTTCCCAGAGGTAAAGAGAGTCATTACAGGTTGCTATGAGTATATGGTGAAGCTCTTGGACTAGACTGTATCAGACCAAATTGTAACACTTCATGAACAGCATCTTACATGATGTGTGATCTTCCAGGGTGTGATCTTCCTGGATGAAACCCTGATACACCATTTCCCAGGCTAGCCTCCTAGTTCCCCTGGCCGGGATAGTCCTTTAGGCCAGCCTCTAAAATGTTTATGTGTGTAAAAGTACCAAGATGGAACTCTGGGTTACATTCTGTGAAGCTGAGAGAAGAAATACACAACAGCAATCAGGGAAACTGCTGGAAACAATGTTCATACACTCAGATGTCAATAGACCAAGGCCATGAAGTACATGAAATGAATACGTGGCCCGGAAATTTTAATACAAGAAGATAAATGTGATCTTACAGGTAAATAGAACCTCGGTGTGACAGGATACATGACTATGATTCAGTCTGTCAAACATATAGTTTGCTTTAAAATTAAAAAAAACCATTTAATAGAAGAGGGGGAAAATAACAGTGTTCCCAGAGAAGAAGTACACCTGTAGGAATTCCAACCAGAAGGGAGGGAAAAAATAATGGAAAGAGAAAGTTAAAGCCTAAAATTAGTGATGAGACTATCAGATTGCTTTGAAAGAATTCATCAAAACCCCTATACCAGGTGAATCTAGGGGGCTCCTGGACCTATTATATGTACCAGTTAGTATCACCCACAGAACAGAGAATGGAAGAAATGTTAGGAGATTTAAGATGGTCAAATAACAAGTTTCCCAGAAAATGAATTCTGAGAAAGTCGGAGGATTCAGGAAAACACATATTGGTAAGCTTGTCATTAATTCTTGGCAAAATCCAAGATGAGAGATGGTCAGAGAGCTTTTAGACAGTGATCACTAACAACCAATATGGAGTTACCAAGAATAAATCAGAGCAAACCAAGTTCATTTTTCTTTTGAAGATAGGATTCCAGATTGATAGGCCAGGGTTCTGTGGACATAGTAGTATTCCTTCATTCTTGCAAAGAATTTGATAAGGTCTCCTATAATCCCCCTGTGGAAAAGGCCAGATGCAGAGCCATTAGGTGGATTCAAAATTAGTTGACGTATACTCAAAATAGTCCTAATTTCTAACTAAGAAACTCAGGCTCCCTTTGGCTCAATCCTCATGAATGATGTTTAGCAACGCTTTGGTTGAAGTCAGAGAAAGTGAACTTACCAAATCTGTGAATGACATAGAACTACAAGGTGTTATCAGATATGAGGCAGCTGAAATTTTGGGGGAAAAGTCAAGGAACTGGGACTCTCAACGAGTGCATGGGAAACTTGAGGACCATAGACAATGGGTCAAAGTCCAGGAAATCACCAAATAAATAAATAAGAGGAAGTAGGAAGGCAGGGCTGTCAAGAGCTGAGGGCAACAGGGTAAAGTGAGTGGTCAAAGCAAAAGGTACAACCATCACCACCCTAAAGACTTGAAAGTATGGGAAATCAGGGGCAAAACAGAGGAGAGATGCAGAGAGAAAAGGAATCTGCAGGAGGTAACCATTGTTGTCTCTCACCCTAGGCAAGGGTTAGGCCCAGAACTGGCTCACGGCAAAGAAAATCAACTGGCCTGGAACTGGAGGAAGTGGGGGAGACTTGGGAAGAGGGGGTTCCCTGACAGCAAGGAAGATAACTACAGCTGATGACTGTACAAATAAGCCTTTCAGCCCCACAATTCCTTGACTATAAAATCAGGGCCAGAACACTGGGCCAAAGCAACATGATTTGACAGGGATTAATGTGAAGTGTGGCACTGAGGATCCAAAAAATCAATTGCAACAAGCCTGGGATTAGGGAGACCTGGCTTGGAAGCTATTCATTTGAAAACCAGTTCAGTATTCAGTTGGCCACAAGTTTGGCCCAAGCCAACAGTGTGACTGGGCCTGCTAAAATGTTAACCCCATCTTGGGCTTCACTAGCATGCTTGGCGCATGTTGTAAGTGCACCCTCTGGTGTCCTGGTACTCAGCACTGGTTGGCTGCAGGTAGAACTGTGTTCCTTTCTAGGTGCCACCATTTGGGAGGATCACCATTAAATTGGAATCTGTCAGAAAGCTATCAGGGAAGTCAGAATGCAGACAAACACATCTGTGAGGAAAAGTTGATGGAACAGTTGATTAGCCAGGAGAAGAGAAGGCTACACTTTCAAATCTTTGAAAAACTATTTCATACAAGGTAGACTTGTTCTGAACTACGCCTCGTTGGTGGGAGTCACGTGGTAGAAGAGCCATTCTTACATTTGCAACCACCCAACCAGGAAACCGGCTGCTTTGAGACAAAATGTGCTGTCATGAAAATTCCCAACCTACAGGCCCCACTATGACTACTATACTTTTACGCCTGAACATGAGCTCCGTTACCTATGTATCTCAGCATCTAGAACATACTGTAAACCACCTACTTAAATCCACATAAGCCATCTAATATTTTAAAGAGACAATCTAAAGGATATGGGCTACCCATTATTCCAGAACTTCTAAGCTCTCCCTGATTTCTAAATTAATTCATCAGACAGCAGTAGGCCTGAGCTGATAAAATCCCTTTGTGCATGTTTTTGCTGAAGGAAGAGTTCATGCTTAAAAGGGCAAGGAAAGGGACAAGCTGGAAAACATTTTTTATATATTTTTGCGATTACCTCCACCCTCGGTTACAAATGTTATTTATGAAGACAGCAGGGTTTAAGGAGATAGAACAGCATAATGCTAAGGAATGTTGGTCCTAGAGTCTAACTATCTGGAAAACAACCCAGCTTCACTGATTTCTGCATGTGAGACCATAGGTGTGTGAGGCCACACTGTCCTCATCTGCCAAAGGGGGATAATGAATGTATATTCTTTGTAGGATTTCCTTTTGGTAAAAATTAAATGACATTAAATACTAGCATTAATATTATTACAAATAATTAATATATTATAGACAATTATATAAATAATACAGATCTACAAAATGAAAACAAATTTTTTCCATAAAATTCTATGGCCTAGAGAAGCAGTAATTAATATTCCAACTTTGGATTTTATAATTCCTAATCAATTTCAAGTCATTTGAGACCTCCAAGAACCTACCATGACAACAATAAGCCTCCCTGCTGAAGCAAGATACATAGGGTTGCTTTGTAATGTTTGTATTAATAACATGTTTCAGGACACTTCTGGTGAGAGGTCCAGGAGTAGGCTAGCCCAGCAGTCCCCAACCTTTTTGGCATCAGGGACTGGTTTCATGGAAAAAAATTTTTCCACGGACTGGGGTGCGGGGTCGAGGATGGTTTCAGGATGATTCAAGTTCATTATATTTATTGTGCAGTCAAATATCTCTGCTAATGATAATCTGTATTTGGAGCCACTCCCGGGCACTAGCATCACCACCTCCGCTCCACCTCAGATCATCAGGCATTAGATTTTCATAAGGAGCGCACAACCTAGATCCCTCTCATTCATAGTTTACAGTGGGGTTCATTCTCCTATGAGAATTTAATGTCGCCGCTGATCTGAAAGGAGGCGGAGCTTATGCGGTGATGCGAGCGATGGGGAGCAGCTGTAAATACAGATGAAGCTGCGTTTGCTTGCCCGCTGCTCACCTCCTGCTGTGCTGCCTAGCTGGCCACAGCCTGGTACAGGTCCACAGCCCTGGGGTTGGGGACTGCAGAGCTAGCCAATATGTAGGGCATTTCTCAGAGGCACTGATGTCCATAAACTGGGCCAATCTTGGCTCTCCCTGCTGGACCTCCAGAGCACAGTATTCACATTCCCCTCTTCCTGGAAATCTTGCAGGAATCTCAGGATTGGTATTGGACACATATCAATTTTCATCTCCCCATACTTTCTATCTTTTAAAGGATGCAGCTATATGTTGTTTCCCTCTCTTCTTACTTAACAAGTATTTTCTTTTGCTCATTTCTTGGAAATGGAGTAAGAAAAAAAACTACCTGATTAAGATGTTAAGATGATAATCAGCTAAATAAAAAGAATGTCTTAACACCTGCAAACCATTTATACCGATTAACTTTCCCTGTTTTTACATTGTTTTCACATTATTTCATAGACAAATTCTGTTTAGAATAGAAGAACCTCCACTTATTTGTGCTTAAAACACTACGTCTTGTCATCACCACTATTTTACATTAAGGCAAACATCTTAATGCTAATTAGGTGGCTTTTTCCTATTCTAGTTCTAAGAAATAAAAACAAAAGATAACACTTGTTGAATATGGAGAGGTAACCAACAATTTCTTTGCTTTTTAGTGTTGTGAAGTGTTTGAACCACAGAAATTTTATATTTTCACATAATCAAATAGTTGTGTGTTCCACTGTGCTTTTTCCTACTCTCTATATGCTTAGGAACTCTTTCTACAGCTTATGATCAGATAGACATCCATCCATATTGTTTACATTTTTATTGTTTGTTTTTTATATTTAAATTCTG